CAGGGCACATTGCCAAGGTCTTATAGATGACGTGGTCCTTAGCAAAGGACAAACGTAGAGATTATCCTTGCGGGGTACGTTCTATAGCTACGGGGATAACCGTTCGACGGCCGGTACAGCTCACATCGGAGGTTACATGCTCACATGCATACATTGATCATACCCACATAAATAAAACAATTATCATTCAAGGCATAGAAAATTTTTAACAACCCACTTGGATTCCGAGATATAGCCAAACACATGGTTGAAGGAACAATAGCAAAAGTTCAGCTCGATGAACCTACAACAATTATAATAGCCTATCAACTGACTATCTAATCCAAGACAACACACAAAGCACATATACTTAGTCGAAATCATATCGACTAAGTGACTCGTGGATTCCTTTACCGAGTTAAGTACTTGGAGAGACTACTAGACTTGAACACAACATATATACCTCAGGTAAAACACATAAATTATGCCAACATCAATAAAATCCAATCCGAACATAAACAACGGATAACCGAGCATTAAAACTCTAAAATAAACAAAATTCAGAAACTAGAGTTAGACTCAACCAATCAACCTGAAACTTTACAACATCACAAGGTATACAAAAACACATAATCTCACCAAGTTTCAGCCCTAAATTCATCCGGGAGCATTTTTAAATAATTTAAGCAAAAACAGTGTCAAAACCCAACATTAATAGTTCATATAGCTACACTTCGAATTTTACTCCAAACTTATGACACAACACAGAATACAACAAAATAACATACTTCTCAAAGTTTCAGCTCAAAACTCCTAGTGCACGATTTTAAATGAATTTTACAAAATTCTGACCAGAAACCGATTCAATTAATTAATATAGCTACAGATGGAGTTTCGACTTGAAAATTTTACACGACTTACAAAATTATCACAGGACATCACATATAAAATGTTACGGCATTCGGACAATCACACGATTTATCATGAATTAACTACGATTCAGCAGCATACTCGATTTAGAAAATTCATAACTCGGCATATACACATCGAAACGACCCCAAATCAAAACCAATAACTCGAGGACAACTCCAATTACCTATAACTCCAGGATTACCACGAATAATACTACTCGAAACTCAGTTCGACAATAAACCAAAGTGACAACAATCACTTTGATACCCAAATAGAATATAAACTCAATATGTGGCTCAATTAAACATCCAAGTCATGTAATTAACTCGTACGTCTTACGTTCAGCAACTTAGCACATATTATAACACATAACGCAAATTATGACATCCAACGAAATGGGGTTCGAGTCTAAGTACCGTTCTCGGAAAGACGTTCGAACGGAAGATTCAAACGGAACTGAAATGGCTTCACGAATGCACCGACGGGCTCGACGGCTAAGATTCGGCTCGCTCTAGAGCTTTTCGGGTGATCAGCGGAAGCCGAACAAAACTGAACGGGTCCCGACGGTGGTGCTGCGAGAAACAGAATCACCGGGGCTTGACGTACGACGATCGAACTGGGACAAGGGACGCACGAAGGAGACGTTTGTGCTGCCAGGACGTGGTGATGGCGATGATGCTCGTGGACTGTTGCTCACGCGAATTTGCTGCTCGCGGTGGTCCTAGTCGATGGTGGATATGGCAGCGACAAAAACGGGGCAGAGGTCGTCCCTTGCAGGTTCTGGTCTGACGGTGACGCGAGGATGGTGATGGCGTGAAGGATGCGATGCTTGCTGCGGCAAAAATAATACGCCGGGACTCGCCGGCTTTGTTCGACACTCCGAAGGGACTCGACGGAGCTCGACGGCTACGTTAGGCACTCCGACGGAACTCGACGGGACCCGACGGCTGAGAACGGTGGTCCGGCGATTGCGATGGTGATGATGATCATGACGAGATGCTGCCGTGCGATGATGGTGGTGGCACGCTGATGAACGATGAAGATGATGGCGATTGGCGAGCTCAGTGGTCTGTTGCGCGACGGATGAGGATGGTGGTGATCGGGACTTGCTGCTTGCGGATGAACTTTGGTGATCGAGCGAGAAGGTTTCACAAGCAGGCTTCTTATGCTCTGTTTTTTTTTCCCTTTTTTTTTTCCTGGTGCAGCGTCGCGAGAGAAGAACAGAGGGACAGAACAGATTTGGTCGAGCGAGAAAATAAGGTTCACGAGCAGGTAGATGATGATCGTTTCCCTTCTTCCTCATGCTGCTATGATGGACGGGGTTGAGATTGGTTCTATCTGGTATTTGAATTTGATGGCGAGGAGAACGTGGGCAGACGTTGGAGGAAAAATCTCCCGAGGGAATCGCAACAAATTTCAATCTGTTGAAGGTGGAGGGGGCTCCAACTTATCTGATAAATCACTTCAAAATTGGGCCATAAATTGGATAAACAAATGGGACAAATAACACATCCATTTTGGGCCAAAATTAAAACAGGAAACTTGGGCCATTTGAAATAAATGGGGCTGGAAGGTGCGCGAATTCAAAGGCTTGGGCCGGGTCTTCTCGGTTCAATACTAATCAATAATCGAGCCCGAAACGAAGGTTCGATAATTATAATAGAACTGCATATAAATATTTATATATAATACACACAAATAATAATTATTAATAATAAACAGTTAATCACATAATCATATTTAGGCAATTTAGACATTTAATAATAATAATAATAGCAATTAGGCAATTATAAATAACATAACAATAATAATAATATTAATGAAATAAATAAATAAACAAATAATCTCAAATATTTCACAAATAAACGGGGCGTTACAATATCCATTCTGCAAACATCTAACATTTATTATTTTCATCAACAACTAACCACATCAAGTACATAAAATTTTGCACATTCTATAGGTATTTGCAAATATGTAACATTCAAGAAGTTATCTTTCTAGTTACTCTCTCTCAGGGGAGCGATTGATTCTTCTTCGGGGAGCTTGAATTCTTTCAACGGGGAGTAGTATTCTCTTGATGGGGAGTTCTATTCCAGCATAGGTTGGTCTCATTTCTTTGGTTTGATCTCCTATTGAAGATTTTTAGGGTTTTGGGATTGGTCAGAATTTTTAGGGTTTTCAAGCTCGATGGAGCCTGGGGAGGAGGGGCAGAGTTTGGCGGATGGTGAGGCAGAAGATTTGGGAAGCAAACTCCAGAGCATTGATTTATCGGAGTCTGAGAGTGGTTTTATCGATCTTTAGGATGACGACATCAAAATTAGCGCGGTGGAATGTAAGAAAAGCCTGTTTGGCGGATCATAGAGGACAGGAGAGAGAGTCTCATTGGAATTCGCAGAGCTATGGGAGCTATCTGGCAAATTCAATATCCCATGGAGGTGAAGGAACTTAAAACTAATTTCTTCCAATTCACCTTTGGAAGTATTGCCGATAAACGGAAGGTTCTGATTGGGACCAACTGGGTGTTTGAAAACCAGTACCTAGCATTAGCAGAATGGGAAGAAGGGCTAACGGAGAAACATGAAAAATTTGCTAAACTTAAGTTATGGGTTCATGTAAATGGCATTCCTATAAACTGGCTCTGCAACGTGTTGGTTTAAGAGTTAGGAAAATGTTTAAACAGAACAAGAATGTTTCAGTGGTGAAGGCAGGAGGAGAAAGGGGAAGCTATCTGAGGCTCTTGGCAGTTGTAGATGTCACTAAACCTCTGCCCAGAGTAGCCAATCTCCGCTTGCATAACACTCAAGTAAGAGCTAGCTTCCAATATGAAAGGCTAGTAAATAACTGTTTTTATTGTGGAATCATTGGACATTTGGAAAGAGGTTGTCCCAAGAAGATGGATGACATTGACAAAGGGAAATTCAAGGAGGGCCAATATGGAGAATGGTTGAGGGCAATGGATAATGCTGGGAGTAGCAGATTCAGTTCTAGTTTTAGTGCAGAACAACCTTCTTCTGATTCTCCCTCTAAAATGCAGCCATCTAGTCAGAACAATGACAACCTCAACGAGAAAGTTGGGCACATTTCTGCTGGGAGTGGAGTGCATACAAACAAGGACACATCAACCAATTTAGTTAATCAGTCTGATCCATCTATGATGGTTATTCAACCACCTGAAGAGGAGACAGTTGTGTGCCTACCCATCATACAATCTACTCCTATCATTGACCAGGGAGTCTCACAAACTAGGGATCAGAACCCACAAATGGACTTGGGGTCTACACCACCTCTCATTGTTGTGGCCATTGCCAGAAGGAAATGATGGAAGAGGAAGTCCACTACTCAAATTGGTAAGACTATCTCAACAACTTTAAATAGTCTTTACCAAGAGGAATTGATTCCAAAAAGAAGGAACAGGAATTTAGCTATTGCCATTATTGAAAATGCAGAGGAAGCTGAAAATTCTAGAGGTAACAAAAAACACAAATATTCTAAAATTGAGGTGGGGGTGGCCAGCCCTGAGTGGCCTCCAGTGAATCAATGAAGCTTTTGATGTGGAACTGTAGAGGGTTGGGTGGACCCTTTACAGTCTCCCAAATTAAGGAGTCCACTAGACTCCACCATCCTCATTTTGTATTTCTTTCTAAAAA